TGACTGCTCTGCACCCACTCATTGCCAAGCAGTTTAACAACATACTACAAGGAGGTGAAATTGAAGGCTGGTTAATATCTGGAAAAACCTACCTGATAATGAAAGATCCAGCAAAAGGGGCAGCACCAAGCAACTACAGGCCAATTACCTGCTTATCAACAACTTTCAAATTGCTAACTAGTACGGTAGCTGATGCAGTCCAACAGCATCTAATTGAAAACAAGCTCTTTCCATCTGAGCAGAAAGGAAACTGCCCAAACAGCAGAAGGACAAAAGATCAGCTCCTAATTGACAAGATGATTATGGAAAACTGTAAGACAAGGAAGTCCAACTTGAATGTAGCTTGGATTGATGACAAGGCATTCAACTCCCTGCCACATGGCTGGATAATCAAGTGCCTAGAAATAACAAGAGTCAGTAGAAACATCAGAAGCTTTGTGCAAAGATCAATGGCACAATGGAAGACACAGTTGCTGGTCAATGGTGATAGACTGGGAGAGGTTAATATAAAGAGTGGAATCTTTCAAGGAGACTATCACCACTACTGTTTGTCATTGTATTGATTCCTCTGTCAAGAATACTGAACATCAGAAGCTTTGTGCAAAGATCAATGGCACAATGGAAGACACAGTTGCTGGTCAATGGTGATAGACTGGGAGAGGTTAATATAAAGAGTGGAATCTTTCAAGGAGACTATCACCACTACTGTTTGTCATTGTATTGATTCCTCTGTCAAGAATACTGAAGAAGTATTCTTCAGGCTATGGAAGTCAGGTTATGGCTATCAAATATCAGAAACATATGCCAGGCTATCCCACCTCCTTTACATGGATGATCTGAAGCTGTATGGAAAAACACCACCTAAATTAGAATCACTGCTCAACATGGTCCAAATATACAGCCAAGATATTGCACTGGAGTTTCAACTGGACAAATGTGCCACCCTTATCATCAACAGGGGGAAAATAGTGAATCAAGGAAGGAATCAAGATGCCCTATGGAAATAAAATCAAAAGTCTGGATGGTCACCACAAGTACTTGGACATCCTTCAAGCTGACAACATCAAGCACATTCAAGTCAAGAAGAAGGTTAGTAGTGAATACATCAGAAGAGTGAAGAAGATCTAAAAGTCCAAACTCGGTGGAGGAAATACCATCAAGGCAATTAACACCTGGGCAATTCCCGTCATTAGATATACAGCTGGAATAGTTGACTGGATTCTAGCTGAACTAAAAGCCCTAGATAGGAAGACCAGAAAAATAATGACAATGAGTCATGCCCTTCATCCACGCAGTGACGTTGACAGACTCTACTTACCAAGGAGCATAGGTGGGCATGGAATGTTGCAAGTGTCCCAGACAGTTGAGGAAGAAAAAAGGGATTAGAAGAATATCTGAAGAACAGCGAAGAAGATACACTGAAGCGAGTACACCATGAAGGCTTACTGAATACTGAAGAGACCAAACTGGCCTACAAGAAAGACTAAATGAAGAATAGAAGAGACATAGCAAGGCAAAGTATTACATGGCCAGTACACACACACACACACACACACACACACAACTAGCAGGCAGAGCAGATAACAACAACACCTGGCAATGGCAAAGAGCAGGAAAGTTGAAGAAAGAGAGAGAGGGGCTAATTCTGGCTGCACAAGACAAAGCCTTAACAACAAATGTATACAAAGCCAGAAGTGAGAAGACAGCAATAGACAGCAAATGCTCCCTCAGCAAAGAAGCTTAAGAAACGGTGGACTACCCAGTTAGCTGCTGCAAGAAGATTGCACAGAGTGACTACAAACAATGACATGATGAAGTAGCAACAATGGTGCATTGGAATATCTGCAAGAAATACTATTTGCCTGCAAGCAAGAACTGGTGGGGCCACAAAACAGACACAGTAATAGAAAATGAAGAAGCTAAAGTGCTATGGGACTTTAGAATTCAAACAGACAAGCACCTGC